GCAGTGGGGGAGGGAAAGGGGGGAGGGGGCTGTGCTGTCCATCCGTCCCGTGTAGCAGCAGCGGCAGGACGATCGCCAAACCGCCACCGCATGTAAACACACACGCACACGCACACACACACACACACACACACGCACACGCACACACACACACACACACACACGCACACGCACACACACACACACACGCACGCACGCACGCACGCACGCACAAAAGCTGCCGCGGAGTGGAGGCGGCGCACGTCACACGGCGATAAGAGAGAGGAGCTTTATGGCTTATTCCATAACGGAGAGGACACCAAAAACCTCGCAATAAGGCAGCAGCACGCCGCTCACGTCCCACTCGGCCGCTTAACGCTCCATTAAAGACTACCTAAACCTCTGTGAATGGATTTGTAGAAAAGTTAGGCCTGCTGCACTGCACACTTCTCTCGATACAATTCAACCAGAGTAGAGAAAGCAAAATTTATTGGCACACCCGCGCAGTTCCAAATCAAAACATTCCCCTGTTTCAATATAACTTTTGAGAAAAGCGTATATGGTATCTGTCTGATGTATCCTGCCAAGGAGTACACGCGGTATGACGCGTATTTGAAGGGAATTGTGTCCCTTCTTCACCCCCCCCCCCCCTGCTCAGCTGCCCAGTGCACTGCCACCAGTGCCCGCGCTGCGCGTAGGCCTACCCTTCCCTTTTCCCCGGGACCCCCGGATGATGAGCTGCGCGCCGGCGAGCTTGACGTTGCGCAGCCCGCAGCCTGTCCGGCAGTAGTGAGCATCCAGCCCGGTGGTGTAGGCACGGCCTGTAGGCGACACGACAACCCGTAGTTATCGTTTGCCTCACCGCCTGGGCTGGTCACCGCCGCGCCCGGCCCCAGCGTGGTCGCTATCGGTCGTGCGACTGGTGGAGCACGACCGGCTTGGCGGCGGTGGTGGAGGGTGCGGAGCGCCTGCGGGGTAGGCCGCCGAGCGACAGCCGTGCGCGGCGGGGCTGCCCAGCCGGGGCCCCGCAGGCGCTCACACGAGGACCTCGTCCGGACCAGAGGCACAGGCACACGCGCCGACCACGTGGACCCCACGTGGAGAGGCTGGGGGAGAGGTCGGCGGGGGCCAGGGCCAGGAGCTCGGGCTCGACGAGCTGCTCCGAGCTGCTCGATCTGATTCTCCATCAGGGTCCCCTGCTGCTGCTGCTGGCTCGAGTCCCGCGCTAACCGAAAGCAATAACGATCATGACAAAAGGTCACGCCGAATAACGCCGTGTCTACGACGCGGCCCTGGCGCCTAAGCGCCACGCCTTCCCCCTCCCGGACCCCCCTCTGCCTCCGACCGCATTGGAAGCCACCTTCCCGTTCTGTATTATTCCTTTTGTCTGTCTTTCCCTCTCTCTCTCTCGCTCTCCCGACTGGCTCCGAAGGCTCAGCCACAACAACGACACGCCAGGCAGGGCCACGCGGTCGTGCGCTATAACGCCACACTACTAACGCTTTTAGCACAGCGGCGCGGCGAGCCTGGCTGCAGCTTTGCTTTTTAGCGGGCGCCTCCGCCACTGCGCTGCCCGGGCCGGGCAGGCTGCACGGGCTCTTGCCGCGTCGGCATCGCCGTGGATTACGATCAATGACGAAATTCCGGGCCGCTCGGCTGGGCTGGGGGGGCCGGGCCCTACCAGGTTATGCCTGGCTATTGCCTAGCCGGGGTGCCCAGCCCGGGCACTGTGCGCCGTGCCGTGAGTGAAGGCCTGGAAGATAGACGAATGATAGGCTGTGCAGCGGCTCTTCGAGAGTAGAGTACACGATGGGAGCAAAGGTCCGGGCGGGTGAAGACATGTGCCTCAAGACGTGGCCGCGCATCCGCGGATACATCGACGTGCGGTGTGGTGGTGTGCCATTGGACGTGACGAATTGTTGTGACATTGCCTACGTCTACTTCGACTCGGCGCGTCCGACCCTTGCGGGACTGGTTGGGCACGGAGCCTGCCACCTGCCAGCGCTACTGGCGGTGGCAGTGACACACGGAACCCGACCGGACAGACAGCAGAACTCACCAGTAGGTACCACCGGCCGAGCCGACTACCGCTCGCAGTAGAACCGGTCCAGCGTAGTTTTCTAAAGGGAAGTTCGCCTGGCTCAATTAGACCTGGGGAAAGGGGTG